GGAGCGGTGTCTCAGTCCCTAAGACCATCAGAAATATGTGTTTTCCGATGGTCTTAGGTGACCTCTGTGACAGGGTTGGTTGACCCCCAAAGGGTAGCGACCCACAGGTTGAGAATGGCCGGTGTGAAGCTCTGCAGCTTTGGAAACCCTACACAGAGTATAGGTGGCTTGAGTTGGAATCGACTTGGTGGCAGTGAATTTGCTGTGGACGTAGATTATTGCTGCCTCTTAGCTACTTAGATTCTTAGCTGTCACTCTGAATGGCACTTGATTTTGTATCTGCTAAGGAGCCCTGGTGGCACTGCGACTCAGACTGGCTGCTAACCACAAGGCTGCAGTGGTGGGCTGCCTGCGCCCATCAAGGTCATGCTCGGGCACCCTACATAGGGTCACCCAGAGTCGGGTTCCACTTGAGGGCGCTGGGCTCGGGGGCACCTTCAGTCTCACTGACGGGTAAGCATAGTCAAAGGAGGGGCAGAGGCTGCCTGATGACGTCTCATTTGACTTTCCTTGACCCAGGTTGGTGGACTGCTTGAAAGACTTTGGCCCAACCGACTGGCAGCTGGCTTGCTTGGTTTGCAAGACGCTGTGGAACTTCAGCGAGAACATCACTAACGCTTCCTCCTGCTTTGGCGAGGAAGACACCAACACACTCCTGGCCCTGCTGTCATCATTCTTAGGTGAGACTCCGCGTGTGCCTCTGTGTGCTTTGTAAGCGTGCGATCAGAGGGCAAAAAGGAATCCTGCGCCCTGGCAGGGCAAAGAGGTGCCCTAGTGGCACAGTGGTTGAGTGCTCAGCTGCTAACCAGAAGGTTGGTGGTTCAAACCCACCAGCTGTTCCGAAGAGACAGATGAGGCCGTGTGCTCTGGAAAAGATTGTAGCTTCAGTTCTGCTCCATCCTGCTGGGCTGCTCTGGGTCGGAATTGACTCAACAGAAAGGGGGTTTTGATGAAAGATTGGTATGCATTTGCTCTACAAGTCATAAAAGCATGTTAAAGATGGTTGCCATCTGGAAGGATCTAGAAAAGGCACCTCTGCTACCATTTACAATGTGGTCCTGAGGACTTTTAACTCGCTGGATACCGTCACGGTTTCTTTCATGGCTTGCTTTAAAAATAAAATTATCTTGTGTGTTTTCTGTAGCCTGTAGAAAAACAAGATTTCAACGTACATGTTATGCTGTACATGTCTCTACTAAAAGTAGAGACACTGTTGTGAATGAGAATATACGTCTAAGAGCACCTCTAAACCATACATTTAAACGCCGGCACACAACTTAGCTTAGCCGACCCATGCCATCTTCTCTCGGGCCGCGGTGTCGGCAGGACAGCCCACATCTCTGGAAAGGGTGATACAGAACAAGGAGAAAATGGGGTCTGACAGGAAAAGGATTTTTTTCTCCATTTGTAAAATTCTTTTTTTCCATCCCGAGTTAGTTCAAAACACAGGGATTGGGGTCAGCAAAGGAGCTGAGTCTTTTCCATATTCCTTTCCCAGAGTGAGGGAAGTGCTGTGCTGTCCCGTGGCCCGGCCACTGTGCCCAGTCAGCAAACCCGGGGGACAGGCCTGGGTTTCTAGCCTGGCTCTCCCTGGCAGTGGGGCTTGCACCAGATTCTTTCTCAGAGCCCGTCTCCCAGTCCTGGGACAGGAGATGCCCATCCCCGGCATTATGAAGCTCGCACAGCACTATGGGGAGATCAGAGGCCAAGATCAGACAGCTCTGAGGTTAAGGCCTGGCTATTTCACTTGCAAGGTGTTTCTTC